AATAATTCACAAACAGATATTATGTATTAACTTCAATAAGTGTCTTCTGGGATCATATTCCTCAAATCCCTGATCTGGATAGGTTTAATTTAAGATCAATAAATCTACAATATTGTTAATGATTACACACAGCATTCATATTTTCAGACTTTTTATTTATCTCACAATGTAGGTAACCTTGTTAACAACCATTCAAAGTTACAATGGTGCCAAACAAATGGTATTTATCATGGGTCTACAATGGGTCTTATAGCATCCCTTTAGTCATGTGATCAAAATTCAAGTGCTTGGAGCATACCATTCACCTTTTCAACCACAAAGTGCTTCAACGCCCCCAATCAACCTGTCTCCTCCCCAGCATCTCTGCTCTTTTGATCAGCCTGCCTGCACCTCCATCTGACCTTTATTATCTTCTTCCTCCTGCTAAGAGGTGAAGCCGTCTCATGAAGGTCAGCTAGGGGTGGCAAAGTGCAGGAGGTCAGAGGCAGCGGAGTGCAGAATGGCCAACAGGGCAGAGATGGGAGGAAGATGGGTGAGTGGGGAGAGTTGAAATATACTCCACGTTCATAAATGCAAGTGCTCAAATTCTGATCAGGCGACCACTTGGTTACTGCAATGGCAATATCTTCAAGGACTGACCTAAATAAGCATTTTGTCGGCACCGTTATCATTTCAAATGGTCACTAAACAAATGGTCCTTAAATGAGGACTACCTGTATTGTATTTGCAAAAGATACCAAGCTAGGAGGAACAGTAACATCTTAAAGAATGAAATCCCGATTCAAAATGACCTTGACAGTGCAACTGGGAAAGTGCCTTTTAGCTAGCTAAAGGAAAACAAGGACAGATGGCTTGGTTGGCATCTTTACTGTTGCCCTGCAGGGCGGCAAAAGGAAAAGAGAAAGTGCACAATCTCAAACAACGTTCCACAGAGCAACAGGAGCTCCTGCAACCATCTATCCTCTACAAAACAATGTCTCAAGACTGTGGAGTAACCAACATATCTTCTTGGTGCGATAAATTTAGGGAGAGGACAGGCACAATAACTGAGCTTTTATGCTAGAAAGAAGTCACTATCACTATTATGTTGGTCTATGACCTTATAAAGATTTGATTTGCACTATCTTTCGCTTACGTCTGTTGAAGAGCAAATATGGTTATTCTCTAAGACAAAAAACAGGCAAAAAGCAGTTCTTGCAGAGAGCAATCTAATAATGCCTAAAATCCGTTTCAGAAAAAAGGCGGCAAGTATTCTCGGCCTTTATTCTTGCCTTTCAGTACATGAAGTATTGTGCACATGTACATACGTATAATTACACATGCAAAGTTCCTCTGCAGTGAAATTAGGCTAGCTCAACGTGAGATATACGTTCAATGTATGGGAATGAGGTCTCCACCTCGCATTTTACCTATCATACTGCTACCTGATGGAACTTCATGGCTCAGATTGTTAATGTTAATTTCTCTTTCTACTTAGAAAAATAAGGCACATATCTTAAAGTTCATTTTGTCCAAAGACCGTTCCTTATTTGACTGCATTATAATGAATTACTGAATGTGCGTTATCGCACTTCCATTTTACACTGAACATTCACCATCTTGGGAAAAAAAGATATCTACTGGCCTAGTGTCTATAATCATTTTGACATCACAAACACCAGACTATTGTTTCATATACTCTATCTTTCTGAATAATTCTCATTAAACAAATCCATCATTACTTGTGAAAAATACATGTTCAGAACTGAATTGTCAGAATATGGTACAGAAAATATAGCATCTACTCTATAGAGTTCAGTTCCATTAAGGAGTTTCTAAATTCTAAAGCTGCAACCAAGACTTTGCACTATATGCGACAAGAAAATGCAGCATAAAAACAAGTAAACTATTTTTAGCTCTGGCCAGTTTGCTAACTGTATACTGCCCTCTACTGGCAAACTGACCACTCCGTGTGCCATCGCGCTTCTGTAAAATCACTTCCATTGAGCTCAACTCCTGCTTGCTTTATGGATCCATCCCTGTGGTATCCTTGGCAATCTCTACAGTTTTTGCTTCTGGGACTTTTTTTTTTCATCTTTCCCGATAAGCCAACAGTATACCTTACAAAAATATTCCTTGTTATTATCAGGAATACAAAAGTGGAAGAATGAATGTGTGTTGATATATGCACATGTGTGCGTCAGCATGTTGTGAGACACAGAGTCTTTCTTTCCACGTATAGGGAAAGAAAAGACACACGTGAAAGTAAAGGCCAAAAGGGTCCCAGTGGTGGTATGAGCATTTGGGACTGGTTTCTCCTAAGCAGGGAGAGGGGCTCCTACAGATCCCAGGAACGACATCAGAGCTCTCTGTCCAGAAGACTGCAGTGCTAGGAACAGCCAAGAGACTGCGCAGAACCCTCAAACTCCCAGGCCTCTGCTAGAGGACCTGAAACTGAGGAAGACCTATGCCACCCATAAGGGTAAGAAGGGATTTTTATTATTATTTTATATATAGGGCAGGAATCCAGTAAATAGTACAAATTTAATAAACAACTTCCTTTAACCAGAACAAAAACATTAATTATATTCAAATATGCCTTTACTGCTTATTAATAAAACCTCAAGTAAAATTCAAGCAAAAAAGGGTTAATCGGCCAAGAATCACAAAAATTGCAGGAAGATAAATATTTTAAGAGAATCAAGAAAGGATGCAAGGGATTATGTTACCCTAATTTAATGGGTACTTTTATTTATCTTCATACAAGTACAGCAAACATCATACAATGCCGGTTCTGCCATGTTTATTTTGCTCAATAACACCCTGATAGAAGAAATAGTATAAAACAGGGGTCCCCAACCCCTGGTTTGTGGACCAGTACTGGGCCGCGGCATGCCAGCAACCGGTCTGCACAAACAAGCAAAGCCCCATCCGTGGGATGCAGGCAGCACACAAAACCACGCACCTTCCGGTCCGCGGAAAAACCTCTCACCACGTAACCGGTCCCTGGTGCCCAAAAGGTTGGGGACCTCTGGTCTAAAACGCCTCATGCTGAAAAAGAAGAACCCCGGTCTCACCTCTGTGTCATCACTATAGATGTAATACAGAACTCTGATGAAGATCTCCTCTGAAATGTCATGGAGAGTCACCACGGGGATACTGGGTTGGGTTTGTAGCTCCTCACTCTCAGAGAAGTGGTCCTCTAGGAGGGCTTTGAAATAGTCACTTCGGCCACAGAAAAATGCCTTCAAAAAGAAAAGAATATGTACATATACACATATGTATGTGTGCGGATGTGGCTGTATACACACACACACACAGACAGACAGACAGACAGACAGACAAAATAATGGAATCTTCTTGGTTAAAATAAGCAAGCAGCAAAATCCAGAAAAGAGTCTGTGACAAGGCACCCATCTTAAACTTTTTAAAGATCAAAAATTGATCACGCTTGCCATCTTTTATCTTTGTTTTTTGTTTTATTGATTTTATTGTAACTTCATTGTTGAGAGTTGGGAGGCATACAAGTTTAATAAATAATAATTTACTGTTATCCGATAGCACATTCCTATTCTGGAAATTTCCTACAAGATTTCACATAAAGAAATGCGTTATCATTGGTTCTATACAAGATCTTTTAATATTGAGGAATACAACAAGAATCGACCCAAATCAAATCAATGCACCCTATACCTTGTGACACAAGAAACAGTAATTTGACACTCGGAAACACAGATCAGGATAACTGCTGAAGCTGTCGGTGCTATCAAAAGGCAACTCTCCAAAACCTACCTAAACACAAAAGAGAAACAAAACAACTTTAGTATTTGACAGTATATTTAATAAGATTACACAACATAAATGCACAATTATGTGTATGCATAATATACAATTATATATTCAAATATATAACACAACACATGATTGGTAAAATATTGCCTTTTTACCACTTTTAGGTGTAGGATTAAACCTAAACTCTGATCAGACTTGCTTTTTACCTTAATGACATTCTAAGTCTCCCCAACCATTCCATTTCTTAGGGTATTTCAGTAAAACTCTTTGTTACATCATAGATCTACAGTCTATGTAAGACAGTGGTTCTCAACCTGTGGGTCGGGACCCCATTTGGGGTCGATCAGCCATTTCACGAGGGTTGCCAAGCAAGGTTGTCCGCCATTTTTTTTGTCTGCCTTTTTCCCCCCTTTTCGGCGGGTGCCTTACCTCCCTTGAGCTGGGCCAGTTGTTGGTCGGCCTGCTCCTTCTCTGCCGCTTGCCAGCTACGCCTCGGCAGGCGCAGGGGGCGGAACCACGCATGCGTGGCGCTCCCGGGCAGGGAAAGTCCTCGACTTACGACCGGTTGGGTAGTCCTCGACTTACGACCGGTTTAGTCCTCGACTTACGACCGGTTTAGTCCTCGACTTACGACCGGTTTAGTCCTCGACTTACGACCGGTTGGGGTCGTGGCATTAAAAAGGTTGAGAACCACTGATGTAAGACTATGAGACTCTACATTGACTCTCTCAGAAAGTCAAATGAGCTGTAAACCAGCATTATTCATACATACATCTACAAATGCATTAAAGAGCCACATCTCTGTTGAAGTCTTGCTTTGTGCTGAGCTATTTGTTAGGCGTTTCTTTTCCTTTCATGCATACTTTATTTCCATTATACATTAATTGCTGTTAATGTAGTCAGCAATCAACCTTCATATTCACATGACAATTCAAAGCTACTTGCTTTATTACATGCTTTGTCTAATAAAGATAGCTATTCTATTCCTACTAATCAAATGACAGGAGAAATAAATGAAAAAGAAAATGTTTCTATTAGCAGAAAAGTTACCATACATAACAAAGGCCAGCAGAGAGCACCTGGCATATACTAAATACAATACAATACAATAAATGTTGTCTAACAGGAGACTTGGTATAAAAATGATTTATGGTAATTTTTTTGTTTATAGCAAATCAGAAAATTTTGCTCCAAAGTTTAGATTTACAGTCCAAAGTTCTTTATGGGTTCCACGTTTTATTAGTTTACTTTTGTTAACAGAGCCAAAAATGCAGGGAACGTACAGAAAAATATGAAAAGGATTTAACATAGAATTAAAAACACATAACGCCTGAGTTCTGAATGCTCATCAATATAATCCACATGCAGTCAGAGAATGTGTGCAACTTCATAGAATCCTTTTATTTGGCATGTGCTCATGCTTCAATTTTCTGCCATACATTCTCCCATAGGAAGTGGGAACTTTAGCAATTTCTCTTGGGAATAAGAGTGAAAGTCATATATATTTGGAACAGTATGAAGCGCAAGAGCTCTCACACAACTATATATTGCAACTAGTATAAAATGAAAAACACGTTTTTTCTATATCTAACATGCCACTATATTGCAAAGGAAAACAGTGAATACTGAAGCCTGGCATCCAGTATTGGCAAACCCCAAATATCAAAGTTCATTTTCCTAAGGCTAGAATAAGTGGAGTCTGGAGAGCTGAATGATCTGAAACATGAGCTTGTTAAGGCTGGACTGAACCCACAAGTGTTTTTGGTGATATGGAAAATGATAACATTTCTACCAAACACATTGGCTACTGAAATAAAACTGTCTGAGCTGGCAATATTGACCATATCAAGCCTTTTAAGATATTACAAAAAAGCAAGATGAAATGAGGCTATCAATTCATGTCAAAAATACAGCTATGAGTAGGTAAACTGCCCATCAAGATTATGTAGCTCTGGTTACCCTAAGACAGTGATGGCGAACCTTTTAGAGACTGAGCGCCCAAACTGCAACCCAAAACCCACTTATGCATCGTCGGGTGCCGGTGGGTGTGGCCCATTGGCTGGGTGTGGCCCATTGGCTGGATATGGCCAATTGGGTGGGTGTGGCCCATTGGGTGGCCATGGCTGCGGTGGTAACGGCAGACTGGGTGGGACTAAAAAGTTCAATCAATCAATTCCAACTTTGTAAGATTTTTTTTTTCCCGTGAGAAGTTGAAATTGACTGATTGATTGAACCTTTTTTTTTTTTGCACACGGCGGCGGAGGCCTAAAGTGAAAAGGTTTTATAAAACCCAGCTGAAGGCCTAGGACTGGGGCGACAGCGCGTGTGCCCACAGAGAGGGCTCTGAGTGCTGCCTCTGGCACCCGTGCCATAGAAATATGGGTCTTTCCCCCCCCCATTTATGTTCCTGTTCTTTTAATGCTTATGGAAGTCAAAGTGCCATAAATTTTTATATATGATACATCTTAGCTTTCAGCAGTACAGTATTTCACCATGATGGAAGTAATTCAGTCTATGTTCTTAAAGAAACTGTTTAGGCAGCATATTGCATGGCTATCTGAGGGTGCTAGAGAATAATCTGAGACCATCTGTCAGAAGACTAGAGCTCAGACAAATGAGAACTTTGCTGCAAGGCAACGACCCTAAACATTCCAGTAAAACTCCCAAGGAATGGCTGAAAAAATATATATAAAAAAATGGAGGGTTCTGTAATGGCCAAGTCAAAGTCTGGATCTAAATCCCATCAAAATGTTGTAAAATGATTTCAAATTGGCTAAGCATGTGAGAAACCACTCATATGGCACAGCTGAAAACATTCTCCATGGAAAAGTGAGAAAATTCCTCCCCTTCAGCATTAGAGACTGACAGACAATTAAAAGAAACACACGTTTGAGGTTGTTTCCGCCAAAAGGGTCAATTAGTCAAGGGTGCTCTTCTTGTTACAGGAGGAAATGAAATGTCTGTTAAATTTTTTGTTGAATAAATATGGCAAAGCCAATTCTTCATAGTTCTTTTCTGTTCAATTACGTTGCCTTTCTCTTTCTATACTATATGATTGAAGATAAATATTGTTATTGTTATGTATTGTTTTGGTCACCGCGATGTAAAAAAGATGTTGAGACTCTAGAAAGAGTACAGAGAAGAGCAACAAAGATGATTAGGGGACTGGAAGCTAAAGCATATAAGGAACGGCTGCTGGAATTGGGTATGTCTAGTTTAATGAAGAGAAGGACGAGGGGGGACATGATAGCAGTGTTCCAATATCTCAGGGGCTGCCACAAAGAGGGAGTCAAGCTATTTTCCAAAGCGCCTGAAGGCAAGACAAGAAGCAACGGATGGAAACTAATCAAGGAGAGAAGCAACCTAGAACTAAGGAGAAACTTCCTGACAGTTAGAACAATTAACCAGTGGAACAACCTGCCTCCAGAAGCGGTGAATGCGCCAACACTGGAAGTTTTTAAGAAGAAACTGGACAGCCATTTGTCCGAAATGGTATAGGGTTTCCTGCCTGAGCAGGGG